GTGGATTTGGCAGCCACTCCAAAACCCTGCAAAAAAATTATTTAAATACTTTACAAGAGGTAATGGATATAATCAGAAATAATGGATAGATAATCAGAAATGAGAGTAATTTAACTTAAAATTCTTCTCTAGCAGAAAAAGAGATTATTGGAATTTCAATTGACAAAAATTTATTCAGACTTTTCCCACAAAATAAAAGTACAGTGCTAGCCATTTTTCAGAGAACTCTACACATCTAGTGAGTAGATTTTTCATATATGCAAGACATACCAAGGGGAGGTCATTCATGCTGTACACTACCACTCCTTCGTACTGTGAGGTATTCTCTGTGATACGACCTAAGCCAGACTTCATTACATGATGGCCATATACAAACTGCTGCTCAGCATTAGGCTTCAACCAGATCTTGTGCTACAGAAAGATCATGTCATTTTAACACTTACTTAGCTCCAAAAAATTATGTGCTTAAAAAAAATTTGGAGCAGAGAAAAAGCAAAGGGAAATAAAATTTGACATATTTTTCCAGTTACATTTAAATCTGAGATATTTAAGGTCACCTTTAAGTCAATCAGTTGAATGATATTTGCTATCCTTGACTTGGTTGATAGAAGCTTGAGCAGTTTGTGTTGCATGCAAATTAATATATGTGTGTATAATAAATTTTGCTAATTGAATCACTCTGATATTGCCAATTTACTAGTACCTGTATTGCAAAAAATGAATAATATAATTGGTGACAAGTAAGATATTGCTTAACTGAAAACACAGGTGATGGTATTTCAGAGCAATGATCCAGTTATTTGGATAAGGGCAAAGAATCTTTATTATGAAATTAAAATGTGTGAAAAACCAACAGGCACATAACATACTAGTACAAGCCCAAATAGAGCTAAAATTTTTGCAGCCTGACCTTTGCATAAGGAGCCATAAAATCCAAGGCTGTTATCTGCAGGCGGAATTTTCCCGATTTTGTCATTTTACCAAAGCATGTTCCCATACTGAGGAGGTTCTTCCTGGATACATTGCCAGCTTTCTTCATAAGATCCTCCCTGTAGCAGAAGTAAAGAGGAGTCAGATCGGACACAGATAGCTTAACAGTAATCATTCTCACGCAGAGAAGACCTCAACAGAGTGGTGAATTTTATTTCAGATTTTCTTTAGTATCATTTCCGAAATATGACTGACTTAATTGGTTCTAATTTTTTAATCCAGCAAGGTCAAAATATTATCTTAAAGATTTTGAAATGATATTAAATATAACATAGAACCGAAGATGTATGCGTAGAAAAAAAATGTCAACCATGCAGAAAAGTATGTGGTTTAGTTGTTTTGAAGGTCAGTGAAATCACAAACACAAGAACTTTTTCCTTATTGGGATCTTTTGAGTAGCTGGGATACAGAAAGTCAGGGCTGTACGTTGTAGTCATTAAAGTCAGTCATATGACTTCACATCTATATTACAGCTGTTGTACTTACCTGACATAAAATATTCTATCTCTGTGAAGCCTAAAGCAGTAGGATCCATCTGGTCGATCTAAAAGCAGCTTGATATTTTCACCAATGCTGAAAATGGTAAATTAATTAAAAGATCTAAAAGATAGGATCTACAGTCATACACAACTTGATTTGTTCCCACACCGATTCGAACACAAGGATTCAACTTGTATATAAAACTGAAGTCAACTACATGTAAGTGTGTACTCAACTTTGTGTATGAGTGGGGTTGTGTACAAGTTAGATGGACAGCACAGAGACTGTACTAAACATTTAATTGATAAAAATTAGGCTGGTTGTGCCCAATTTCCTCTTAATAAATTAAGAACTCATAATACTTGATAGACATGCATTTAGCAAAGTTTATTTTATATGCACACTCTGTAACCATTTCAGTGGGACTCTTGCAAAATGTTGAGATTTTCTGGAATGCCAATACATCAGAGCAGAGACATGAATAACTATTTTATTAATTTATGTCTTTGATCAGATCTGATCCAAGATTTTTTTATAGCAAGGTATATTTATCAATTTAATTGGACCGTATCATACTCACTATTTTGAAAGTTTGTCGAAGAAAGTTTTTGTTTCTTCTTCTGTAAGTGGTCTCATATTTGTTGATTTATCTCGTTTTTCTTAGACTTACGACAATCATGTCTGTTTTGAAACACCACGTGTTTACGATTGAGATTATAGAAATCTTGAACCCGAGTTTAAATATATTTTTGATTGAGATCGAAAATGAATTCCGAAGTGTTCCGAACGGTTGCTATGGGCGCGCAAACATTTTCAATGTAGTGCAATAATCAGGAAATGATACTTGGATGCTGGGTTTTTGGAAGATTCAGTATTATGTAAAGTAAAGTAATTGAGAAAATGCAGGATGACCACCGGTGCGTACACGGGAGAGGGCTTTGCGGTGACTTTCGACGCAAGTCAATACCAGACGGATTCGAGGAAATTCGGAGGAATAATAAGCAATCGCATGTCCATGTACATTGATAAAACGCCCCAAACTGCTGTCATCAAACTTACTCACAATAGCAGCTTGTTATATAACGAGAAAAAACTTGATGTCGAAAGACTCCAAACTCGAGTCAACAAAGAAGAATCAAATAACAATTTAATAAATAACTTAGACTCGCATTTCAGATTATTAACAGCAGAATCTAATGTACGACCCACGTCTAGCAATGTAAGTGACAGGATAGATTTAGGAGCTATACCTACTATCAACAGTCGACTCACTACACCACAAACAGACAACAAAGAAGAGGATGTTCAGTTTGTAGATTGCAATCACAAAGTCATCTCAAAGTCTTCCAGCAGAAAGGGTAAGTGTACAGAAAACTATTTTTTAATTAAAAAAAAAATCAATTAGATACGCTGGATAAGTGCACCTCACAGGTTTTGAAAAATTGCTTCAGAACAAATAGGTACTTGAACTTGATAATAGTACTTATTTATAAAAATACCAATGCAAAAAACTTAGTACATGCATATCATAGTTTCTATATGTGCATATTCCTTGTTTTCTATCAAAATATGAGTACACATTGTCATGATAACTTTGCTAAAGCTAAAATGACCTCCTTAGATCTTAGCGTTCAGTAGCTAAAGAACTGTAGCATTATGGTTTTTTTATACCCCCCGCAAACGAAGTTTGGGGGGGTATATAGGAATCACCTTGTCCGTCTGTCTGTCTGTCCGTCTGTCCGTCTGTCTGTCTGTCCGTCTGTCCGTCTGTCTGTGCAATCGTGTCCGGTCCATATCTTTCTTACAGAGGGACATTAGAATCTACTACTCCACACTAAGATTGCTCATGATCTAAGGGTGTGTCATGATCTTGACCCAAGGTCATTTGGGGAAGTTCAAGGTCACTGGAAGAAAAATTTCATAATTCGTGTCCGGTCCATATCTTTCTTATAGATAAAATTGGTAGGTTCTCATTTCACACAAAGATTGCCCATGACCCAAGGGTGTGTCATGACCTTGACCCAAGGTCATTTGGGGAAGTTCAAGGTCACTGGAAGAAAAATTTCATAATTCGTGTCCGGTCTATATCTTTCTTATGGATAAACTTGGTAGGTTTTCATTTCACATAAAGATTGCCCATGACCCAAGGGTGTGTCATGACCTTGACCCAAGGTCATTTGGGGAAGTTCAAGGTCACTGGTAGAAAAATTTAATAATTCGTGTCCGGTCCATATCTTTCTTAAGGATAAACTTGGTAGGTTTTCATTTCATACAAAGATTACCCATGACCCAAGGGTGTGTCATGACCTTGACCCAAGGTCATGTGGGGAAGTTCAAGGTCACTGGTAGAAAAATTTAATAATTCGTGTCCGGTCCATATCTTTCTTATGGATAAACTTGGTAGGTTCTTATTTCACTCAAAGATTGCCCATGACCCAAGGGTGTGTCATGACCTTGACCCAAGGTCATTTGGGGAAGTTCAAGGTCACTGGAAGAAAAATTTTATAATTCGTGTTTGATACATATCTTTATTATACAAAAACTTACTTCTGAAAAACCCAGCGGGGGGTATTTTGTCCCGATTGGACAGTTCTAGTTATATTTTAATCTTTGACCATAATGCTACAAATCCCGTAATGCAAAAAATATGCAATTTATGGTGCAAGATTTTTGCACACTGTTTGGGAGAATTTCTCCACTTTCCAACATTGGTAAATTATTAGGGGTGGGACGATACACACATCTTGCGATACGATACGTATCTCGATATATTGGCACGATACGATACGTATCTCGATATTATGAGAAATTATAAAACTATTCAAAATAATTAGTATTTTATTTCTTTTTTTTGTCTTGACATTAGATCAACAAATTATTCTATATCAAATCATGTTTGCTTTGAAATTAATACTTGAAGTTCATCATGAATTTCATTGACTAAAACTTTCCAAAAACAATAATACATGTACGTACTATTATTACCAAATTACTATTCAGAAGTTGTTTACAAATAGTTGTGTAGTTTATCAAAGAACACTGACTAAAAATTCATTTAAAAAACATCGATCACATTTATATTTTTATTAATTCATTGCTGAAAGTCTGTAGCCAAGTTGAGATTACAAAAAAAAAAGTACAAGATGGACTAACAATTAATATCAAATGTTCTGGAAACGATATTTTCTGTGTATAGCACGAATGGCATACTGAACTTTTCTTGTCCAATCTTCCGAGGCTGCTTAAAAGTGAAAACATTTTACCCCTAACCAACGACTTATTAGTTCTAAAGTGTGTTTTCAATATCAACATCATCTCTTCGCTCGTATAAGCCGCCATTTTCCAAGGACAGGTACTTTCATTTTCAATTTTTGGATAGGTCGTTCGTGTATCGTTTCGTACCGATATTTGAATGCTTGTATCGTAAACCGTATCTTGGAGGAAAATATCGATATGTATCGGTGTATCGGTATATCGTCCCACCCCTATAAATTATCTACCTTTCACCCCCTCATTCCAGACACATTCTTAAACCAATTTGTATATTTTATCCTCCTCTAAACCCTTTATAGTTGCCTCTACAGGTGATAAACCGGCTTGATTTGAATTGTCTGAGGGATTGCATAAAATTCTAATTCAAGCAAGTTTATCACTTGTACTTGTTGAGATGACTACAAAGGGTTGGAAGGTGTATAAAATATTACACAATTATTGCTGTTTTTGAGGTCAATACAATGATTTAGCCATCTGAGGAGTACAATATTCACCGAGCCCGGAGGGCGAGGTGAATATTGTTCTTCGAAGATGGCTAAATCATTTTATTGACCGAAAAAACAGCAATAATTGTTTTATTATATGCTTCACTGATAAAATGATAAAGCCCATTACTTGCTTGCATTTAATTAAGTCCTGGCCAAATACAAAATCAAAGAGAAGCAGAATTAAAATGCAAATAAGCATTACCAGTCGTATCAATTTGAAGTTTTTATCAATTTTAGTTGCCATGAAAAAAATATAATGACAGTCTTTTTTGTAGGATAGATTTTCAAAGGAAGGAGTATTATCAGGGAAAACTGACTGCCAAAAAGTAAAAATTGTTGTTCAGTAAAAATGTGTTGGAGGGGTGCCCCTGCATCCTCTCTTACCACCCTCACCCGAAACATATTCGTTTATGTTTTGTTCACATGAAAAAAAAGTCATAGTCGTTTAAATAGCTTTCAAATACAATTTGTATCAATTTGGAATTTCCCAATCTATTTTTAGATCAATGTAGAGGAAATAAATCCTTGTATTGACCTGGAACGTCACGTGCAGGTCAATACAACGTAGTATTTTTCCAACATAGTTGGATCTCAGCCAATCAGAGAGCGGGAAATTATTCAATCATATAATAAACAGATTTATTTAAAAATGTGTTTAGAATTATGGAGGGAAAGGTAGATAATTTACCAATGTTGGAAAGTGGAGAAATTCTCCCAAACAGTGCGCAAAAAATCTTGTGCCATAAATTGCACATTTTTTGCATTACGGGATCATGCATCTGTAGCGTTATGGTCAAACACTAATATATAAAACCATAACACTACAGCTCTGCAGCTAAGCGTTTAACTCCATAAATTGGTATTACATCCTTTTGTGGAGATGTTCTTTGTTATTTAAATAGGTTTTAAATTAATGCAATCTTACTGAGATTGATGCACAGATAATCTTGCAGAACTACTTGATTCTTCAGTACAGTGTACTTTATTATGCTGATTGATGAACGTTCATACTGGGAAACTTTTGATTTTGATTTTGGTATCACTAATTCCTCTTTATAAAGTATTTCATTATTATTTAAAATAATTAATGGACACCATAGAGTGTTCTTAAGGTTATCTAAAATACTTGGGGAAAAAAAGCTATTTATAGATAAGATAAGATAATTTTATTTTCCAATTTTGGGCCTTATATAAGAGGTAAATACACTGTAACTCAGAATGATGTTTATATTTACAATTAAAACCATCAATCAGATGCATCTCAGTGGAATATTTTTCTCTAGTTCTGTGTGCTCTTTTAAGGTTTTGACCTGTCTGATTATTAAATGGACTTGTTTTGTGCTTTATTCAGTTTATTGATTGTCAGTTCTTATAAATTTTATATGATTTACTGGATATGCCAGGTTAAGATATTAGATAGATTAGTAAACATCAAAATGGTAAGTACAATTTTTAATAATTTTCAGAAGAGAAAAAATTTCCAAAATTGCTGCAAAAAGTTACTAAAAAGAGGAAAGCAGGTCATATTATCAAGAGATTGCTGTAATAATGTGTTTGTTCTTTCACTGTAACTGCATGCTGTTTTTTAAAATTAAATTTATATCTTTTTGTTTTGTTTGATTTGGGAAGTTAATGTACCGGTATTTATACCATTGTCTCAGAAATGTTCTATTTTCTGAAAATTATTAATTTGCAAATTTGCAGGTTTTTAACATTTTGCACAGAATAAAGGCAGTGAGTTCACAAGTCTAATCATGTAAAATATTTATTTGTGACCAAGATGTATAAGCAAAGAAGAAATAAGATACATGTACATGTATTGCAGAATCTCTCTTCATTGATAACAGGAATGTGTGTAGTTGTGACACAGAACTATACTTATAAAGAATTACTTAAATTTGTATGATTTTGAATCACCATGACTGTATATTTCTGATTTTACAGGGAAGAGGAAAAAGCGGGCAAAGTCCAGTAGAGGATTACGGAGCAAATCTACCCAGGGTAAGAATGGAGGAGCCGGTAAGCAGAGCACTCCTGTGGCAACGAAAGTTAAACAAGGCATGATTCAGAATGATGCTCAGAATATGACAACAGGTGTAGCGGGGCTGGGTGTCCTGGAGTCCATGTGTAAACCAATGGTTCTCCACAAGACTATCGAAAGGAAAAACTCAGAGAAGAAAGATTTTTCTAAACCAGTTAACTCCACAAATCGTCAGACTATCCAACCCAGCACAAAGCAAATATCACTTCCACAAATGACCAATAACTTCATGGTCAAAACTGAGTCCATTGTGAGGACCTCAGTCTCTGAATCTCTTCAATCTGCCAAGTCCGTGTATTCCTCTAGTCGAGTAAACCATGCTGAGATTGCCCGCATTACAAAAATATATTTGTCAGAGAAACAGTCTGGAGTAGTGAGGGATTGTGGGATGGAGGTTCCTTGTGCACCCCCTGCCACACCTCTTCCTGGTGAGTTCAAATTCTTATCAATAATTAACAAAACAAGATGTGTTTATGTACGTATGGCAAAGAGTTAAATTCCTCAATTGCAATTTTGACTCCAAGGTCAAGAGATGAAAAATGTTGTTTTCCTAGGAAAGGATTTGTATTATTGAGTATACCTGTGTGAAAATGAAAGCCCAAAAACAAACAGTGCAAAAGTTATTACCGAGGTTAAAGTTTAAAATATGGGTTAAACTTCAATGTCAAAAGGTCAAAATCAATGATCCAGGGAAAGGACTTGACACAAAAAATATAATTTGAAATATAAAAACCTAAGCACAACTGTTCAAAAGTTATGACCATGGTTAAAGTTTATTGAAAATTTACCAATCTCCAAGGTCAAAAGGTCAAAATTGTGTGTATAACTATTGAAGTATGAAAGCTGTAGCATTAACTGTACAAAATTTATGGCTAAGGTTTGAAATAAAATTTGATAAAATTTTCCAAAAAATGGGTCAAATTCCAAGGTCAAAAGGTCAAATAATTACTCAAGCCAAAGAAAGGTCACGTCACAAGGAACTCATGTTTAAATATTAAAAAGCGTAACTCCAACCAATCAAAAGTTATGTGCAAGGTTAAAGTTTTTAAAGACAAGCTGATTAGCAGACAAACAGATGTTTGGAAACACAGAGCAAAAACTTTTGGGAGATAAAATTAACACTTTGATTATATTCAAAGCAATTTCTGTTCCTATTTGTAGCATTTTTAAATTTCTAATTTATTATGGCCATGTTAAATTGAAGATTTAGGGGCATACAGTATTTGGTCTGTCTGTTTGACTGTCTGTCCCCAAAAAACTCGAACTTTGCCCATACCTCGTTGAATTAGGCTGAACATGAGCACTGACTTTCATAGTCAGTGCAACAAGTTCTTTGTTATGCTATGAATCTGTTCGACCTCTTGATCTTGGAATTAGATGAATTTTTCACAATTTTACTTAACTTTAACCTTGACCCTAATATTTCAATAAAAATTGAAGTAAAAATGTGGAAAACTTTTTTTGCAAGTCATTTGGGATTATTTAAAGAACCTTTTTAAAAAAATCACTCTCTTCTCAGCTAGTGCCAGAAATCTCTCCTGGTTAATAATCTTATTCGGGTTTTAAGTAATAAGTTTAAAAGTCTAACGTGCAAGGAACTCAACGTAGAAAATATTTAATAAGTCCTTTAAACCTCATGCAAACAATCTGTGTATTGACATAATTGCCAAATTCTTGTGAAAGATGGATGTTAGCTAGATTTTCTGATCTTTAAAAACAATAATGGGGAAATGAAAGTCTTATCGGGTATATGTTAGACTGAATATTCAGAGGTGGATCAGTTTTTGAGAATGCGAAATTCGAAAAAGATCCATATTGTGAACTTATTGGAGACTATTTTGGTGATGGCATTTTGTTAGTAAGGGAGGAATTATAATGTGTGGATTGGTGAGCAGTAGACATGACAAGGAAATCATCAGTGTAGCCTCATGTCATGGTATTGTAAAATTATTTCCTTCCTTTAGGTCGCAAAAATACAAACTGCATAAAATGAAACTTCTCTTGTTTTATGAAAAAATTTCTTTAATAAATATTTTGAGTGTGTCAAATAAAAGTTCATGGATAGTAAATGAAAGTTTTAGCCCAATCCCGATCACAGGTATGGTTAGAAACTCTATCTCAGTATTCAAGGACACAAGCTGATTAAAAATCAGGCACCAATATTAAAATTCTACATCAAATCATTGAAATTACAATCTTGGCATGCAGTCATGAACATCAGACATGATGCAATGTGTAAAAAATGCATCTTCTATGTAAATTTGAATTTGAATTTTCATTCCCCCTATTATAAAATTATGTGTTGTGCCTGCAGCCAGAGTGCACTCTTTGAATTTTTCATTATGTTTTGGATTCCATTAATGTGCAAATCATAAATTTTTGTTCATCTTTCAGACCCATCTAAGAAGGTTGAATATATACCAAGTATGAACGACATCAGGGTATGTTACTAATTACTATCAGAGAATTTTAAAAGCACTTACTATAATTTGATTGAATATTATGCTATAACTTCTAGACAAGGAAATATATTTGATAAAATATTTTAGGCACAACGAGCAGTCAAAGTTAAACTACAAGTTCTTGAGAAGGAAGCTCAGAAGAGATCAGCCAAACGCAGGGATGACCAAGCAAAGCAGGAGAAACAACAGCAAAAAGAGCGGGAAAAGGACCTCAAGGTCAAACAGAGGATAGAGGTAAATGTAGAAAGAGGGCAAAGGGCCTCAAAGTCAAATATGTAACAGAGGTAAGGCTGGAGTGGTAGCTAGGCAAAAGATCCCATGATTAATAGATAAAGTTAAACTTACAATATGCAGTGAAATGAAGATAATAATGAGACTAGAAAGCAGAAAAAGACCTAAAGATCAAACAAAGGAAGTAAGCCTAAAAAGCAGAGAGATATGTCAAGGTCACACAGAGGAAAGAGGTAAGCTAGAAAGGGAAGAGACTTCATAGCCAAACAAATGATAAAGGAAAGCCAAGGAAGCAGAATGAGAAAGAGTAAGAGAGAGAGAGAGAGAGAGGCCCATTAAAGATAGAGGAAAGTCTACAAAGGGGAGAGAAAACAAGAGGCGCATGGGCCACATCGCTCACCAGAGAAGCTGTGACCATTCCGTTCTTTACCAGATTTCCACCTTGTAATACATATTGTGACCCCACCCTACCCCACTGATCATAATTTAGACAATTTGAAATCTACCGTACCATAGGATGCTTTGATTCCCCATTGTAAAACTTTGATTCCCCAATGTGCCACCACCCTATCCCCATTGTGGCCCAGTGGTTCTTGAGAAGAAGATTTTCAAAGATTTTTCCTATATTTTTCTATGTAAAACCTCTGCGGGGGTCATGATTTGAACAATTTAGAATCTACACTACCCCAGGATGCTTCCACATAAGTTTCAGCTTTTCTGGCCCAGTGGTTCTTGAGAAGATTTTTAAAGTGGTTCATTGTGGCTCCGCACAACCTGTCATGATTTGAACAATTTAGTAGAAGATTTTCAAAGATTTTTCCTGTATATTTCTATGTAAAACTTTGATTCCCCATTGTGGCCCCGCCCTACCCCCTGGGGTCATGATTTTAACAATTTAGAATCTGCACTACCCCAGGATGCTTCCACACAAGTTTCAGCTTTTCTGGCCCAGTGGTTCTTGAGAAGAAGATTTTCAAAGATTTTTCCTATATTTTTCTATGTAAAACTTTGATTCCCCATTGTGGGCCCGTCCAACCCCTGGGGGTCATGATTTTAAAAATTTAGAATCTACACTACCCCAGGATGCTTCCACCTAAGTTTAAGCTTTTCTGGCCCAGTAGTTCTTGAGAAGAAGATTTTTTAATGACTCCACCCTATTTTTCTCTTTTCTTAATTATCTCCCCTTGTGAGGGGACTTGGCCCTTCATTCTGACAATTTAAATTCCCCTTCACCCAAGGATACTTTGTACCAAGTTTGGTCAAAATTGGCCTAGTGGTTTGGTTCTTGAGAAGAAGTCGAAAATGTGAAAAGTTTACAGAACGACAGACAAACGGACAGCTAGACAGACAGACGGATGGACGACGGACAAAATGTGATCAGAAAAGCTCACTTGAACCTTCGGCTCAGGTGAGCTAAAAAGAGGTAAGCCTAGAAAGCAGAGGGAGATGTCAAGGTCAAACAAAGACAGGGTCAAAATAACCTGGAATCATTAACCTGTGTTCAACCGCAGGTAGAAAATCCAAATGATTTAGAATAGATTTCCGTACTTTGAACTTCTGGAGTAAAAGCAAATTTCTATTGACATAGGCTTGTATTCATGTACATGTGTGTTTGCTATATAAACTTATATCATTGATTGACATTGAATAACTCAAGTCAACTCTATATATTTTTTTTTTTTTTGAAGATTTATGCCCTCAACAAAATTATGACAGAACTTGAGAACAAGAGGTTTAAGGAATTTTGTGAGAAGAAAGGGATTAGTATAACATAACATCAGTACTTAAGGCTACAGTTAGAGGTGCTTGTTGCCTGGCCATAGTTAGGGGTTTTACCTTGGTTATCCCCGCAGTCCACCTTCCACGGTCCAGCGATGTCTCTACAAAATCTTTGTGGCGTGTCCATCTTGTCTCTTGTGCTTAGTTTCATCATTCTACACTGCTTATTGTTTAGGATGGCTGGTAGGAGGAGTAAACAAGATGTGTGTATGCTATACAATGAACAGAAATATTAAGGCATGTGACAGTTATAACTCTAGTCAAGTTTGTCTCCAAGAGTCAGTCAAAATGAGGCCATAATATAGAGAATACGTGCACTGTCAATTTACCAAGGGGCCGAAGAATTCACCCTTCAGATTTAAAATATGATTAGCGTTTCTCTTTGTGAATCTATAACAAATGTTCAGTGTATGATTTTCACTTGCACTGCTCTATTCTCAAAAATCAACAAGGCATTGTAAATTGAACCTTAATGAGCCCAATGGTTACTTTGATTCTTATGTGGTTCACAAAAGTTTATTCTACAAAGTTTATTCTACCTGGAAATATTTGCATTTTATATTTTTTCATACATGAATTCCTCATTGCTTTAGTACCTCCAAAATTTCTTTAAATGGCAGATCATGGTGCTTGTCTTAAATGTTCTTTTCTTGTCTTGTTCATTTGAGATATGAGAGAGATTAGTATGAAAATTATAAATGTAATAAGACTGTGTATACATGTATTTAAATGTAACATTAGAACAGAAGTTATGTACCTTTGTCTTTCATTTTGAATAATATAAATGTGGAACTGTTTCAATTTTAACTATATTTTTTGTAAATTTATTTTATTTTAGTACATTTTACTATGTAATTTTAGCATTTAAAATTCAAATGAATGAAAATACTAGAATCCTCTGTGATGTGGAAAGTGTATGTTGTCCTTTTAGCATGCATGTTAATTTTATAAGCCCTTAAGTTACTTTGCTTTGTATTTTCATTCTCAAATTAATCAAGTTTTTGTCATAGCTAGGTGATTCCAAGCTGTAAGATTTCATTTTAAGCATGATGTTTACTCTTTTAAGTAATCAAATTTTCTTTTTCAGAAGTTTAATGTAAAATTTCATATGGTTGTGTTTTTGTCTATTTGACCAGGTTGTCTGTGATGAAACAAATATATTTTTACACATATATTTTAAGAGATATAGATATTTTAAGAGATGTAAATATTTAAATGTCATAGCAACGACTTATGATTGACTCGTAATATGTTTTCAGAGGAGTGAGAAATTATATATTAATAGAAGCCATTTTACAGCTATACATCTCAATTTTAACACTTTTTCCTAAAAGTTGTTTTTAAGCAAATTTTAAAAGCTTTTTATATCCTTGTCAGTTTTTGCACAAAATAAATACCCCAAGGTGGTTTATAAAACCCATGGGAAACTTTTTGCTGTATGTTTTTATATTGCTAGGTTATAAACACAATGTGTGAAAATAAGCTTGATATATTCAAAGTTTATCAATACACTGATGACCATGGGAAACTTTTTGCTGTATGTTTTTATATTGCTAGGTTATAAACACAATGTGTTTTGAAAGTTTATCAATACACTGAAATCTTAACCATTTTGAAAGCTGTTTCTTTTTGCTCGGAATGTTTTACTGAAACTATATTTGTAAATAAATAGGAAAATAAATGAACAGGCTCAGACATCTTTTTCTTGCACTTCCGGATCATTCACCGAACATTCGGTGTCCATACATTGGCCACAATTTCTTGTTCAGATGCAAATTTTTCTTTTTCAGTCACGTACATTTACCACTAAATTCAGCTTCAAGATTTTAAATAATAGTATCTCATACACAAGTCATTCCAAGTAATCATATGTACAGACTACAGGATAACTGAAACAGACTCAGAGACAGATTTGTGCCTAAGAATGAATGTGCACATGTCCACTTATCAAGCTAAAGCATTTACCCACATGCCCATGCAAGTTAGTATATTAATTGCTGTATATCTTGCACTACCATGTTCCCCTCCATAGAATGAAATGACCTCATCTCTTCTGAAGTGCAAATGCCTGAGGGGCAAGATTCTAGGGGCAATCAATTTCACCCACTAGAGAATTCCCAGGTCCCACACTGGATACCAAATGAAATCGGGACAGGTCCGAGTCTCCAAATGGATTTGAACTGTGGACCTCTAGCATCAGTCATGTAATCTATACCAATTGAGCCAAATGGTTAATGCCTAACCTGGGCTGGTAGGATGCCTTATATATATCTTACAATACCGCATAAACCTGGTGCTGATCCCCTTTTGTATTTAGGCGTACAGTAGCACTAGTTGCAACTTTTCCTAAAGACTGGATGCCATTAAGATATGCCAAAACTGCAGGAGATAATGTGCTTGTACACAAATTCTCTTGCAATTGTACCTAGGCTAGTATTAGTACAGTTGGTTTGAATTTATAACTGGCTTCTCCATGCAATATAGGTCATCCAGTATTCAAAAACAAATTCTAAATTAAGCCTTTAGTTGGTAAACATCATTGGTCTTATTACTAGGACACAGTGTACTATGACCTTTATTTCTTTTCACAAAAGTCGAGGTCACTTAAAAACAAATCAACTCATCTATTATTTCATTTATTCTACTGATGACAACAAAGTATGAAACCAAGCAGATTGGACTATACAACTGGGACAGAGGATCACACAGGTTACTGGAACATGTACACAATATCTACATATTTATTTATCCCAAATTTCCCCACATACTTAAACAACACTGTTACAAAACTCACCTACTCTCTTTCAATTTACCTTAACTTTAAAATACATTTATACAGTGAAAGATTTAATTTAGAGTTACCCTGATGTATGCTGATGCAGAATATTGCTTTCCACACTGCATATAGAACTTAGCACTAAAAAGGTGGAGTTATCTACCCATTATAAAGTGGTGCGGCAGCTTTTTTTTCCATTGAATTATTTAAGAAAAAATCCTGGTATAACCTAGTTCTTAGAACTGAAATTAATCCCTCTGTCCCTTGTGTACTTATAAAACATGGAGATTCTATAAAACCAACAAAATAAGTCAACAAATATAAATAAAATGTCAATAAGATTTACACCAGAAAATGCAATAAAATTCAGCATCTAACCCCGTCATTGTGGTTATATTCTGTATAAAAGTTGATCGTCAACAACATATTATGCAGGCTAATGTATACTTTTTTGATTAACTAAGTCAACTTAAGTACTTGTAAGAAAATATAAAATTCAAACATTTTTCTGGGAAAATTATCAAATAATGATAGATAAATTCCACTTGGTATTTCAAAAAAAAAAAAGCCAATTCTTTGAAATTAAAGAAATTTTTGTATAAATAGGAGAACACAAGTATTGCATAGAATTATGCTGGTAACTAAACAAACAAAAATCATCTAAACAAACAAACACATAGATACATATGTATCACTTACATACACTTTAACAATAGAAAGGATAGTGATTATTATATCTGGCTCAGGGTAAGATTGCTTATAAAACCATCTTATCAGATTGTACACAGTGTTTAAGATCCCATGATCTTAAATAATTGTCTTGTTTTTTTTTTTGTTGTTCTTATCTGTGTGTTAGCACAATGTTAGAAAGCTAAATACAATGTATCATCCGAGAGTCTGAGATCAACACACGTCATAAAGAATGAACCCTGATCCAGGGTTGACTAAAGGCATCTTTTTTTCCTACAAAAAACTCTTGCACTTTACAGAGTATATTTTTATCAAACATTATTATTTACAACTTTACTGCACTTTTTAATCATGACAGCATTTCATCACATTATGAAAACTTATCAAAATGTTGCACCAGTTTGCCCTATTCTAATTGAATGTCAAAAAAAGATCAATGAAAATCTTTGATCAACATTGATATAAAATTTTTGTGCTGCTTTTTGTTAGACAATTCAAAAACACAAAAATGTATGATTTGAATACACAGAGAAGCTTTGCTTCAAATGCATTAATTTATGATTACACTAATCAGTTAATTGGGAAGACTGATTATGTACAGTACTGTGTACTTCAATTTGGTAATAACTGTTTAAAATAAAATTTTAACAAGTTACACTAAGAATAATACATATACACATAAGTACACAAACTTTATAACATTTTAACAACAAACAAAGCCATACTACCATGTAGTACAGAAATAAAAATACACTCTGTGTAAAAATTAGCGCTGCTTTCACAGCAAAAATATTGTCAATACAAAATAATTAAAATTGGTTACTATACTTTGTTCTACTTTGCTGAAAAGACTAGTTGTGAGCTTCACTCTGTCATGAAAAATCCACGTGAGCAGGAGAGGTTGTCTTCAAAAGACAGTTAAAGTGTGAGTTCAGTCTGGAGGGTAGAGACAGGGGTAGGGAAGTCTGAGGGACGGTGAAGGGGTGGGGCAGTGGGGGGTTAAAGGGAACACCCAAACTGGTGGCTGGTTCTGCTGCTTCTTTATGGGGAGTGCTAGAATCTCTGTTGGTTTGGGATGACAAGGTTCCCTGGGGGGTGGATCTCTGATCTTGAGGGGTGGGTGTGACACGAGAGCTACTGCTGGTTTGGGGTGGCTGAGGATGAGGGGAGGATCTCATTTCTTGTGATGTGGGTCGTGTCGATGACAGTAAGTGGTTGGCATGTCCTGAACTATTCTGTACAGCCTGTTGAAGATGAGATATAAATGAGGGTGACATCAAGGAGGGAGGGACGTTAGTGGGCATGAGGGAGAGAGGGGGGAGGTGATGAGAGGGAATGAGAGGTGTCTGCATGTGATGGGACGATGGCAGAATAGTAGTGGAGGATATATTATTAGATTGCTCAGCAGCCATATTTGGTGAAAGTTGATTTGAATCCATTGGTCTAGACAGAGTTTCTTTGTGGAGGTCAACAAAACGACTGAAGTTAGATGCCCTTGGGTCACTAACAAAGGAAAGGGGTACGGAGCTTCCTCTTGATGTTGGGAAATCCTTCTCTTTGGTTACCATAGAGTTATTCGTGCTGGACTGCCTTGGTTTCCTTGGTTTGTAAGGAAGAGGATATGGAGCTTCCAAAGAACGTACATTTACATGCATCTGCAATCATAAACAGATATACATGTAGAACAAGGAGTAGGAAAGATCCATTTCAAGTGTGCAACTTTTTCATTTTAGTTAAAAAAGAACATCATTGTTAGATGTTGTTTTGAAGAATTTTCAACATATTTAGGACATAAAATTTTGAATCATATTAATTTTGTTGAAAAAATAAATTTTTATTGTATTTTGTTTCAAAAATTAAATTTTCAAATTTTTTTTCCCTTAAGCAAATAATCTATAAATGATATATAAGCATTTTATGCAGTGTTCTTGCGTTGAATTTAACTCAATTTGCAATTCATTAATAAATAAATAGTATAAGCCCCTCCATGACTTCTTAAAGGTGCTGTGGTAATTGATGTACCTTCAGCTGAAACTGATGTGCCATTCCAATTCAAAGAAACTTTGGTTTATAAATCACGGATGTTAAAGTTAACACACTTTTGATTAAGAAATAATTGAGAGGTAAGCCAGACCTTGAGTGTGTGATTTTTGAGACTGCTCTCGTTGGTGTAGGCCCGGCTACAGACAGAACACTGGTATTGTTTGTTTGCTGCCTTTTTCACATGGTCTTCATGGTTTCTCATGTGATGATGAAGATTGGCCATCTGAGCAAAGGCCCGGTCACAACCATCAAAACAACAGCGGTACGGCTTCTCACCTACAATACAGGGATGCTGCTTTTATTCATATTATGATAATGGTCAGAAATTAAAACCACTTCTACCTAATATAGTAAAATATCCTTATACGAAAATGCCTGGGATGAACAATTTTGCTTCTTTATAAGCTTATTTACCAGTGTAAAAAGAGCTTTTACTTAAGTTTCATCTTTTCAGGCATAACAAAAGTAAGCTTTTTAAAAGATGCTACAAAGTTTTCATGATATTTTAATAAACTACTGTAAACATTACATTAGGCTGTATATTCTTTTTAGCGGCTTTGGCGGAATGCAGCAACTGCTAAATCAAGTACAACGCTAAATGTCTTGCACATATACACGACGTATTACTAAATAAGAATATGAAGAAATGCGCTAAATCAAATCTACCCTAACTTATTCAAAAGTAAATTTCCGCCAAATATCGCACACGCTAAATATAATACATTTACAGTATCTCCCCTAAAGAGAAAGTCACGTTCTTTTGTTGAACAGACTTGAGTCCCCTTCACCAAGAATGTTTGTGGTAAGTTTTGTTTGAAATCAACCCATTGGTCTTGGAAAAGAAGTAAAAAATTTGAAAAGTTTACTGTTAAGAATTCAGCTAAAATCATCTCACGTCTTGCATGTACAGTTACCTATTTATTCTGATTATGAGTGATCACTACTTTCAATTTTGCATTATCCATGTGCATTCTTTGATACTTCAATATTAATTTAATTAAAATTAGATTCTTTGATCTGCTTACTTAGATCAATTAACAAAGGATCTTGCAAATTTATATAAGGGTTCATCTCATATTGACCTTATATTTAGATATAAAAGCCAATGGAAATTGCCAATGATGTCAAACATACTGTTTTTCGTTTCTTATCATTTCAAAGTGACCAACTGTTAATTTGAACCGATAGCACCATAGCTTGACAATGAGCAAGGTCTTGTCAACATAAGGTATCATACGCATTACATTGTATTACTAATTAGGTTTTGACAATTTATCTGTTATATATCTGTTGGTTGCCAAATGCATTCCAATAGATAGACATACTATTTACAAGTCTATGTTAAATAAAATTTTATTTGAAGACAAACGAGAGCAGAATATTTGATCCTTTTTGCAGTGATCCTAAGGAGCAGACCAAAGTCTTCCATTTTATGTAGATTGCTTTGATGCCATAATCTAATTTTCATATATGTTATACCTGTGTGTATCCTAAGGTGTTGCTGCAAGTGACAAAGCTGCTTAAATCCTTTATCACAGAAGGAACAAATGTGCCTGCGTATCCCCGTGTGCACCAGGCTGTGCTGAGCTAACTGCTGCTTGCTCTTGAAGCCCTTGCTACAGTTTGGACAGATGTGAGTGCGGTCAGGGTGGATGGTGGAATTGACCTCCATAAAGGGCTGGTCACTCGAGGACAGCTGGGGGTCATCTGTAGAAAGGTCAGGGTTATCTGCAGGGTGTGGCATACTCAGATCTACAAAGATCGATCAACTGCTGGTATAGTGTATAATGTTACCTTGATTTGCACTTCTAAAGATGTTATAATAAAAATGGTTATCTATACTCTGTTATTTTCCAAACATCTACATGTATTTTCTGTTAATTTCCAAATGCACACTTTTTAATAAAAGTTCATTTTAATACAGACACAAAAATTAAAGATTCATAATATTTGTGCAAATGTGTCAAAACCAATAAATTCATGTTTACTGCACTTTACAGCTCGGGGAATAACTGTTAATCTATTTTATTGTGATTTTTAAATACACTTGTCTTGCAATGTAGGAATTAAATTGCATTTTTTAATGAAATGCACTTTGTTTTAAAAAAATTCAATATTTGCATTATGTAATCTGTAAATTTCAATAACATAAAAATTTATGATGTTTGTACTCCCTGCACTTTATTGAAATTTCAATTCTCAACAGCAATTTTTAAAATGAGTATGCCTCACCATGGTAACCACCTTAATTTTATGTTACTTGTAACCAATAAGAGATTTAATGCAATACATGCAGCATCACTATCCCCATTCTGTATTTAATTATTATGTAACTAATGGAGAGGCTGTACAAGTTTTACATTCAGAGCTTCCAATGAACAAGTATTTATGTTTGCTTCACTTTCATAATTAAAATAAGAAGCCCATGGGCCACAATGCCTACCTGAGTCACCTTGGCCCTGATAATTCTTCAGCAGATTTTCAAAATATTTTTCCTTCTTCATTTTCATAAAAAATTATCTCATATGCTGACCTCAACCTAGCTTAAGCCAGTCAAGGGATAACAATTTAATTAATTGAACCTGAATTTACACAACATCTAGATGCTCCAATATCAATGATGTTTATTCTACTGTTCTCTTGAAAAGATTTTCATGCCCTATTGTGGTTCCAGCCTAGTGCCTATCCTAGTGGCCTATATTTGAGCAAACTTGAATCTGCACAATGTCAGGTACAGTCAAGTTTAATCTTTCTCAGTCCAATGTTCTTGGGAAGAAGAATTTACTATTCTTTCCTTTCCTTGCTTATCTCCCATTGGAAAGGGACAAGGTCCTTCTTTTGACCATCTCAAATCCTTTTTATCCAAAGATATTTTGTGCCAAGTTTAATCGAAAGTTACCCTTGCAAAGCATTGGTTCAAAAAAGGAGATGAAAATTAATGTAAAACTTATACAGTTACAACACCAATGATACTGAGCACTGCATGCCAATGATAGATTAAGGTAAATTAGATCAGAAAAGTGCATATACCGTATATGCAGAATTTTTTGCAAGGATTTAATTTTGGCATTATTAGCGAGGGTGCTGAGATCGCTAAAATTGAATATCACTAAAAATTAATTGAATTTTATATGTAATACATGTAGCTTCTTTAGTGAGCATTATAAAAATCGCTAACATTACATCTCGCTAAAATTTCCATGGCACTTATACGGTATGTTTGAGCTTCAGGTTCAGGTGAGCGAAGAAACATGATGCATCTTATCAAGAAAAGCACTCAAAGATGTTAAAGATTCCATATGCCTTTCACTCTCAGAGAATACACAAAGTATGAGATGATGTCCATAAATTATATTTAGATTTCACTGGCACAATAATTATACTAAATTTAATGAAAAAAGCTTACTTTCATTTTCGATAAAGAGACCTGAAGTCACAAAAAAGAGAGTACATTGGTGGTTATATACGGTTGGAGAATCTAAGTTACTGGCAATTTTTAATGAAACTGACAACAAGCAATAGCTTTTTTATCTACATGTATAAAACTTTACTCTATACTTCAACAACACTGAACAAGCATTGTTTTAGATATCTCAACCCCTGGCCTCCAGCTTGATCCTCCTAGCTCTATGTCTATTGATACTTACCCTGGGGATTCCTGGAGTACTGAGAGGCACTGCTGGGGGTCTCCACTGGCAGGGACATCCCTCCCATAGAGGGCAAGCTGTAGGGGTGTCTGCCTGGGGGTGGGGGCTGAGGAGGAGGCACCTGCTGCTGACCGTAGGACAGGAGGGCTGACACAGCACTAGCAGCCTCCGACATATTGTCCCTGTTGGTAGACATTAACCAGTAAGTTAGCAACAGTTTAAAATTTTCAAACCATGGGTCCATCATATACGAAGGTCAAAGCCGTAATCCTCCGAAATGAATGTAAACACTCGGCCGGTGAGGGTTGTTTTCTTTAAATTCCACTTTTATTTTCTTTTTGCATTCACATTTAATTTTCACCTGTTCATTCTTCGAGATAGGGTCGGATGTTAGCTTGTAGGACTTATTTTCTCGACTGCATTTTTAGTCTCACTGTTCGTTGTCATGCACAAACATATCTCATATTCTCCTACTTACACAATATATTCCCTTTTCAAAGTTTCATTATTTTATTTCAATATATCTGCTCTTTACATATTAATTTCTCTGGAGAGCAGTGGGATTTTTTTTTAAATGAAAAAAATATTACATAACTCTGGGGCATCAATCATCGGCCTTTCTTGGCAAAGAAAATAAAATGGAAATGCCACTTCCATTAAAAATTTCTAAATAGTACTTGAATTTTCTATCTAAACTCTGATGTTATTGATCACAGATATAAATTTCCATTCACTATTATGTAACGGTATAAAAACCTGAATTTTAATTGATCACCAGCTTCAATTAATCCAGTTTTGATTGCATCGATCGAAGAATCTGACACAATTGTTTCATGTTTCTTTTTAATCTAAACCTGCATGATAATTATTGTGTTGCAATTTTGCAAGTTTTTATGAAATATATTGAAGTTATAAAAAAAAGTCTCATCTCCCCTTCGGATAGAAATGAAAATTGTTGCAATCTGCCGTTAATGATACACATATCTTCCCATCATGCACATTCCAACAAATTCATCTTGTGCACCGATCTATTTTTATCAAAATCTACAGCATTGAAATATTGAGTTGAATTTTCTGATATCAATATCTTCCATCACCACTGGATAAAATGTGTATTACATAATACAAATCAGAAGCACATTCCTCCATTATTTCTTTTGACAGCTTCTCGACTAACACACAAACCTGCACAAATCAATTTTTTTTCCAGATCATGTGCAGTTTTCTGAATGCATGTTTCAACTTCGATTAAGAGTCTAACACAAGAGTTCAGCATGTTAACCAAGACACAGAAAAATGTCTATTGGATTCAGGCATCTCCACAGTGTAAAAGGGAAAAAAAGCCTCGAGGTTATGTAATCAAGCTTTTGAATAATTTCCACAATTCACATGACAGCTTATTGTCACAGGTTATCAGTGAAAAGCGGAGTGAAAAAAAAAATCTTTCAGACTAAACAAAACATGTGAAATTCAAATGCCTTTATCTTCTCCACTCTTTCTAACCCTCTGTTTTGAAAATAAAGTACATCCTACATGCTTGAGTGATGCTTTTATATTTAAATTTAAAAATTCTGTCCCCAGTGACAGGCCGTCTATTCAGATTAAATATTCCCCATCAGGTTTTGTTGGTTGCTATATTGCCTGTTTATCTACACATGTCAGTCATTTTTTACCTGTATTTACCTGTATACAGACAGGCAGGTATCAGGGCGCTCATAAAAAACCTGCTCTATGAGTCATAAGGAACATGTTCAAATAGGGTGTATTTCTTAAAATTTAATTTAAATTTTACTGCATAATACAGTTTAAAATTAATTGTTTTTGCTAATTTTAATTCACTTTTTAAATGCTGAAATGCTGAATGAACCTTTTAGTCAAGACATATATCAATTTGAAAGGAAATAAATATTCTTTAAAAAAATATAAACTGCCCTTTCACTCCTTTTCAAGCTTTTATCTATGTTTTGCTTTTATTTTTGTGTTTTCATTATGTAAATATGAAAATTCACAACACTACGAAAGTGGCTCAATAAATCAAATTAATTCAGGGATATTACTCCCCCCCCCCTCCCCACTTAAAAACAAAATAACTGGGTGGAAAACTAATAGAAAAAGATTTGGAAAAAAGGGAAGAATTTACCATTAAACTTTTCTTGTCTCCAACAGTCCTTGTTTTAGGCAAAAGTGGGGAGAAAAAATATTGATGAGTTGGGGTGATACAAATTCACCTACAGACATGCTAGTTTGAAATACATGTATGTGGAAGTCCAAGAGTGTGAAAATAACAATGGACAGAAATCAATCAATGGATGAAATCAGAGAAAAAAATAAAACATAGTGCTGCTTCATTTTTTCTTGAATCAACCGTCTTTAACAGAACATATGGTGATCATTTTAAGACAAAGAAATAATAATATGCTTCCAGATAATGATAATATGTAACCTTTTCTCCCTATTGTGGCCTACTCTACCCCCAGGAGTCACACAAAACTGAATCAACATAATCTAAGGAAGATTTCATAAGATTCAACTTTTCTGGACCAAGTTTATTTTTTTTTTTATTTTTTTTTTTTATTTTATTTTTTTTTTTTTAGATTTTTCAAGATGCTGCAAAATTTTAAGTTATTCTTAATCATCTCCCACATAATGAGGGCATAGCCCTTCTGTTGATTAAATTTGATCCCCTTTACTCAAAAATGCTTTGTAGCAAAATTGGCCCAGTGGTTCTGGAGAAGTCAAAATGTGAAAAGTTTAAACACATCCATTGTAACAGACAGCTAGACAGATAGACTACAGACAAAATATCAAATAAAATCAAAAAACTCACTTGAGCTTTCAGCTCAGGTGAGTTTATAAAAGCATATGCACATTCAAAAAGACTTCTCTGAAGATTTAAAACATGTCATTCATCTAGAAAATATTACTAAAATCTGTCATCTGAAGCAAGTTTGAGAGTTTATCCCTTGATGCATCATCCATGCAAGTGTGATCTAGGTACGGCTTGAAGTACACTGCTTCATCTACTGTCACCTACATGTAGTCAATATCTGAAAAATATGTCAAATTGTGTATATGAAGCAAATCTGGTAGTGAGCATCCCTTGATGCATCAGACTGTGATTCAAACTGGCCTCATAGTTTCTTGATAATGAATTTTGTCAAAAAACTCCAGCCTGGTCACTCCTTCTGGAAAATGTTGGTCAAATCCAGAATTTGGAGCTACTTGGGAAGTGTGCATTCCTTCATGTATCATCCATGCAAGTTTGGTTCAAATAGGCCTTAAAATTACTTAGAATGCACCTGCACCAAAATTCAAACCTGCATGGTCACTTATATTGTGGACAATATACATCAGATTCATCATCTGCAGCAAGACTTATAGTGTACATCCTTAGATCTATTATCCTTGCAAGTTTGGTCAACATAGGACAAATTATTTTTAAAATTTAGAACATGCAGATGTACCTGCTCCAACAACTTAAACTTTGTCACTTATCCAGATATTGTAAGTCATATCCAGCATCCAAAGCAAGTCCAGTAGTTTGCATCCTTAGATGTATCATCCGTGCAAGTTTGTTCAACTTAGGGCCAATAGTTACTTTAGCAATTGTGGGTCATATTCAGCATCCAATCTAAATAAAATCATACTTTTTAAATCACTGACATTATACATTCTGTGTAAGAATTGATTCAGCATCCAAATCAAACCTGGTAGTGTTTCTTCTTAGATGCAACATCCATGTTAAGTTTGGTCAATTAAGGTCTTATTGATACAGATGTATTAACTATGAAACCTGCTCCAGAACCTTTAACCTGCTCTAATAAAGTGCCACGCCACAGCATGATACGCCCCCGTCAAAAAATTACAATTATAATGTATCTTAAACAGTTAAAAGTGCAGGAAAATCATGTCAACCTTGATTTTAAGATTTCAATGATTTTTACACACCTTAAAAAATTTGTTTATCCATCTCATGTGGTGTAGGCATTAATTATAACAAATATTGCATCATTCATAGATTTCTATACCTTGCCAAATGCCTATCATGTTAAACAATATCAAATTAATCTTCACAACTTAATCTATACCTAATTAATTTTGGAAATAAAAGGCTGGCCATCAAATATAAACTGACCAACAGTTCTTCTGTCTAATTCCCGAAGGAGACAATTAAGAGCATGCTCTGAAGTAATGAAAGAGACATGCAGCTAGCCTTCCTACATTGAACACATTAATTAATCTTTAACTGGATGCTTGTCTACTCATTACTCCCAAAAGATTATTGGATCTGCACTATCTACCATAAAACATTTTTAAAACGTATAAAACATCAATGATTTTTTTTTTTAGATTTAATGTCAGACAGTTAATTGTTAATATGCAATTCACATGGACATGCAGATTCAACCCCTACCCCCATAAAATTAATTTTTAAGTTCACAATATTATGTAATAGTTTAATATGCAATATCAAATTAGTTTTAATTACTTCTCATCAAATTCATTTTAAAACTTTGGCTATCCAAGAAGAGCTATTTTTAATCCAAAAGGCTTACCCATTTGGCCCAATACTCAAGGGATATAGATAGCACTGATGCTCTTACAGCTACTCCTCACACTAAACTCATTAATTTCTCTCTCTAATTTGACATGCAATTTTCTGTTATCAAAATTCTTCTTGACCAGTGCTTGATAATTAGACTCATGGGAGTGGTGGAATTTCTCTAACATACATTACATTTGTTATAGATTGCTGTCAAGTATATATGCTAAAAAAATAAGTATTTTCTTAATTTAACATTTTTCTAATAAGGTTAGTGCAATAGTTTTACATTTTTTTGAATGTGTAAATGAATAGAAAAAAAGACATTTCTTTTTAAAAATTCCACTTAAATTAAAGGTCACAGTGACCTTGAAATAGGTCGCGACACACCTTCTACCTAAGATGCATAAACTGGCCAAGCTTGATGATTCTAAATCTAATAGTTTTCTAGTTATGAACCGGACAGGATTTTTCCATATTTGGCTATAACTTTTTAATTATAGGTCAGAGCGACCTACTTTTTGTGCGCGACACACCTTCTACCCAAGATGTATCAGCTGACAAAGTTTGATAACTCTAGGCCTTATAGTATTCAAGTTATGAGCCGGACACGAGAAAAGCTAACAGACGGACAGACAGACAGACAGACAGACAGACAGACAGACAGACAGACAGACGGACGGACATGAAGCCTATAACATAATACGTCCCGTCTTAAGACGGGCGTATAAAAATTTTAACATGGTCATTCTTTGGCTGAAATTGCAGAATCTCAAACCGTGACTGATACAATAAAACATACTAGAAGCATTACCCATGTATTTTTGATTGATGTAGGGCATAGAAGTACTTGAAAAAGAATCTGCTTCAAAAAATTTAGCTGGGATGCTGACACTGACTCCTGTGGTGGTACATAAACTCCCCAAACTTTGTTGAGGTGAACTAAAAAATCAGCTCAGTACTGAACAGTTGCCCATACATACACTAAGAGCAGCAGTAACTGAATTAAGATACCTAAATGACAAATCATGGTCATAAATGATTATTTTTTTAACTTTTTCCTACCACCCCCACCCCCCAAATGATTTTTTATTGTGACCCCATCCTACACCTCGGGACATTATCTGAGCAATTGTGAATCTACACTTATATCTGTATTATCTCCCCTTGAAAGGGGACATGAACTTTAATTATACGAACCTAACTTCCTTTTACACATACTTGCTTTTGTTAAGTTTGGTTAAAAATTGTCTAGTGGTTCATGAGGTGAAGTCAAAAATGTGAACAGTTGACACACAACAGAGGGCAGACACTCTTTGATTAAGCTTACATAAGGCTATTAATTTTTTTTTAAACATGGTCTTTGGATTCAATGTGTGACAAAATAGTCAAGTTTTTGGGGAATGAAACTGCTTGAAAACCATTAATCTGATCAATCACTCAATATAGATATAGAGATCAGATCCAGCATACAAAGCCAGTCTGATATAGTGCATACTAGGATGCATCATCCATTCAAGTTTGGTCCAGGTTAGGCATATGGCATCATCTCAAGCCTAGGTTCAAAGTCGAATCTTGAATAATTATGCCTGTATGCTGTGATATCATGTTCAGTGAATGACAATATTTGTTTCTATTGCAATTGAAAACAACAACTGACATCATCAGTTGACAAAAATATTTCACAAACTGCAATTGGGTATTGAGAGGTTTCATCAAAGTTCATTTTCTGACTTTACTTCACTTGCATTGGTCAGTATTGTAATGAGCTACAAAATATTCTCTTCCCATTCAACCATGGTCAGAATGGGAGAGGATTGTACATTTTGTCCGTGGTTTCAAAGATGGGCATATGGGTACTCTGCACTGAATGTTTAACCAGTTTATTCTATTCGAAAATAAAGGTCAGACCTAACATCTAAAGCAATTCATACCTCAAGTAGATACACAATCTAATCAGGTATAGTAGATCCCCATAAGGCTTATAGGTACAGTAAAACATGTCTCT